GTGTTTTGCCTGCACGTATTTAAGTGCACCTGTGCATGCAATGCCCAACGAGGTAAGAAGAGGGCATAGGATCCCCTGGAACTAGAGTTAAGGACGGTCATTAGCTGCCATGTGGGTTCTGGGAACAGAATCCGGGTCTTCTGCAAGAGCAGCTGGTGCTCTTAACTGCTGAGCCATCTCTCCACCCTCTCTTCTTGTATATCTTATAAGCATGTTCAGCTTCACATAAGCAAACCAAGATCCAGCAGCCATTCCTATTTCATCAATGACCACTTCATTCTTCCGCCTCTCTCAAGAAAAATACCTTGGACTCATCCTTTGACTTTACAATCCATGTTCACTTAATTAGTAAATCCCTTGTGACTGAACTTTCAAACATGTCTGCCCATTTCACACTTCCTACATTGCTCCCACTCTAGTCCAACCCATCATAAACTCCCATCTCATCACAAGATAATCATTTCTTTCTTATCCTCGCCCCTGGCATTTTAAAGTAATGTTAATATACAGCTCAGATCATGCCATTCCTTGGATCAAAACACTTCAATGACTTGCCAGCCCAAAGCAAAAATTAAAACCTTTTGATCTCCAAAGTCTCCCATGATTTAGCCTCCTCATCAACCTCTCTGATCTTATCAGCCGCCTAGTCTGCTCTGCCTTCTGCCTCTGGCTTCCTCAGACTTACCAAAGTGTTCCTGCCTCCAGACTTTTGTACCTGAAATTCTGTCTGAGAAGCTTTTCCATCATGTATTAAAATAACTCACTTCCACCTGGCGTGGTGGCACATGCCTTTAATCCCAGCACTTGGGAGGCAGAGGTGGGCGGATCTCTGTGAGTTCAAGGCCAACGTGGTCTACAAGTTCCAGACCAGCTGGGGCTACAGGGAGACCCTGTCTCAAAAAGATTAAAAAATAAAATAACTCACTTTCTCACTTCTTAAGACAGTTGCTTACATGTTATCCTCTTGTGAGACCCTGACTTCTAGACATCCCTCCCTTCCTCCCTATCCTCCTCTCCCCCTCGTTCTCTTTCCCCCTTCCTCTTCTTCCCTCCTCCTTTTTGTATTTCCCTGAAGTCCCTATCACCAAGTAGCATAAGATAAATTTTAATGTGCTTGTCCTTTCTATTTCTTGTTTACCACACTGGAATGAAACTACCCACCCAGATTTTTGTCCGCTTTCTTCCCATTGTTGCATTACCAACATCAAGAACAGTGCTTAGAATAATGACTTTTAATAAATATGTTAGTTAATGATCAAAACTTTAATAAGAGCACCCAACAACTAGTGTTGTTTTGATGATAAATGGACATAGGCCTTTGGAACTGTGTTTGGCAATGGCTACACTCTCATTGTATAGTGAATCCCACATACAAAGAACAATGAAATAAAATACAGAATATAGAAATAGATACAAAAATAAAGTTGGTAATTTAGCATATGATAAATATTTGTTTTCAAATTAATGAGGAAAGAATTAAACTTGAGAGTAATCTGCTAGTCGTTTGTAAAACAAATGTAAGATTCACTCACACTGCAAACCTGTATTAAAATAAGCCCTTGATGAGTCAAAGATTGTAAATGAAAATCTCCGGAAATATTAGAAGAAAACATAGGCACTATGGGGACTAGACATACACAGAATTACTGAAACAATAAATAGGTAGACTATAATAGGATCTATAACCAATATTACTTTTGTAAATAGTTAATATACCCACACAAGCAGCAATACATGTTTTGCTGGAACATCTACAAGTCAATGGATATACAAAAACCACATTATAATGACTGACCATGCTGAGAAGAGGAAAATTCAAATGGGGAATGAGAATATTGAAAATAGTCTAAAATATTAATCGCAAAATAAAAATGGCTAATAACTATAAAAGTTACTTCGATATAGCTGACATTTCAATTTTTTAAAATTTGCCTTTCAGTAAGGTTTTACTATTTTTCTTTCTTCTCTTCTTTTTGAGACAAAGTCTCACTATGTAACCTTGGCTGGCCTGGAACTGGCTAGGTAGATCAGGCTGGCCTTGAGCTCACTCTGTTGTCACACTGGCCTTGACTTCCTCCTGTGCCTTCTGCCTCAGCCTCCCAAGTGCTGGGATTACAAAGCATGCCCGACAGCACCTGGCTCAGTAATATTTCTAAGTAAAAATATTTGTAATTCTAGCTGTAACTGTCAATCTGTTTGCCAATATAAATAATCAGTGCAACTGGATTATATGTCTGGATCTAGAACTATTCAAATATAAGAGTAATATGAGGGTGGGCACTTTGGCATGTGTCTGTCATCCCAGCACTTGGGAGGTCAAGTCAGGAATACAGAGGCTTGAAGCAGGGCCAGCCAGGGCCACATAGGACAACACTGCCTCAAACAATGACAACAATGTGACAACCAATATTATAAAGGAATGTTGTAAAGGGAGGAAGTGAGAGAAACCTGGAGGCTCAAGGAATGATGAAAGACAGGTCTGGAAGAGATGATGAGAAAAAAACCTGCTCAGCTAAGAAGCGGCATGTAGGATCTTCGATCTTGGCTTTGGAATTTCTGACTGCTAGTGAGGCTGGCATGAAGTTCTGTAATTTAACAGATGAAGCAATGTGAGAAGATGCCTGATTTCAAAGGGTCATTGTCATGGATGAAGATGTCACCAAGAACATTACTAGGGGACAGAGGGAGACACTCTGATGAAAGAGTCTGAGACAGCATCTTGGTCTGCATATTTCCAGACTGTGACAGGAGAGCTTGAAGTCATGTATTGCGGACCTCAGTTAGGTAAGGAAAAGGCAGAGTAAAACATACCAGTAAAACTACAGAGTACAAAAATGATGGATAATGGCAAGTAGAAACAAAATTACAGGGCAATAACAAGGTAAAATCATAGTAGTATATGAAGAAAATGACAGAAAAAGTAATACCTATCAGTGGAGTGGCTTTTACAAGGAGGCTTCTGATACATTTCAGGAACAGGACCAAGAGTAGGAAGAGGAGTCTAAAAAACAGCGAGAAAGGAGGTTTGAAAAGTACAATTCTGCAACCAGGGAAAGCAATTTGGTGAGGAAAAAAAAAAAAAAAATCAATCTCAGGGCTTCCCCAACACAGCATAAACTTTCAACTGTTTAGTGGCAAAAGCAAAAACATGTATAGAATTAGAGTGCAACCAGAAGGAGACCTGGAAAACACAGCTTTATCCTGAAGAGATTCAAAACTATGCGGGCAGTGCCCGCATAGGGGTGGGGGCGTAGTCCAAAAGTTGCGGGCTACTCTTTCACTTCTGGGTAAATTTGCGGTAAAAAGCAGTTTCACTTTCCATGAATTAGAAACACAGCGGTCCTCCACCCAGGAGGTGCTGCCCACCCACACGCTGAGAAAGGGCGGCGATCACCGGTGTCTGGACTCACCCGGCCCCCGTGGGTTGCTCCGGGCTGCAGAAGGCAGGTCTTCAGCAATCGCCACTGGGCATGTGCTGGAACCCGAGCGGCTCCACTCCGGAATCTGAGCATCTGCTGAGGTCCGTCCGGCTGGCTGCAATCCAGGCTCGCTGTGCAGCCGCTCCAGGCGGTGACTCACTTCGGGGCAGGTCCAGAAGAGGCCCGCGCCGCTCTCCTTCGAGGTCCTCCCGGCTCCGAGAGAGGGCACGTGCTGGTCCCAAGGGGTCCACATCACCGGGCGAGCGCGGGCCACTCTGAGTCTGGATGCTGGCTGCTGGGACCGGCCGCGGGGGAGGACCGCCCTGGGGACGCGGCTCGCTGGGGTGGGCAGCAGAGGGCTGTAGACGTTCCCCGCCACGCGTGCCTCTGGGATGTGCGGGGTTTCGCACAAGCCTTGGTCTGCACAGCTCCGCTGCATGCTCGGCTGCTGGTTTCGGGAGAAGCCCTCTCACAATGGGGGCTCTTCCCTGGGTCTCTCAACTTCCCTTGAAGTTCTGGTTTGTGCCTAGTCTTCTTGGAAAAGCTCTGTTAGAGCGTCCTCCTAACCAACTCTCGGCTTCACTGGACTTGCCAAGCCATCGCCTGTCCTACAACCGACCGAAATCCTGCTTGCCCGTGTTCTGGGTGCACTTCCTTCATCGTCTTTGTTTTGTTTACTCTTTGGTCACTTTTTCTTTTTTTTTTTTTTCACTGCGACTCCCCAAATTTTACCCATGCCCAAATCTGCCCAGACATAGATGTTTTAGTAATGCTAGCAATTCATGCATTTGCTCAAAAATACAATGTGAGGATGTAGAAGAGTGATGACTACTTGGAGGACGTGACCGCATAAATGCTGGATTTGATCAGCGCACATGATGCATGTATTGAGCTATTACTCTGAATTGCTTTAGTAATAGATATAATAAATATATGTTAATCAAAAAAATGTTTCACACTTAGAAGTGGAACATCAACCTTTGTAAAGAACGGCTGAGCACCCACTATCATCCAGGTACTGCAATGCGTGTCTGGTCCTGGAAACAGCTGCACTCAGACTGCTGAACCAGCACATAAAAAGAAATCAACAAGCCACACAAAGGATAAGATGTGTTCTGGCAGGGGGAGACCTGTAGTAGCAGACACATGGAAAATTGAATTGAAGACAAAAATTGATCCTTTTATGAAGGAATTCCTCCTACATCCTACTTAGTATCCTCTGCTAAGCAGGTTGTCATTAGAGCTCATTCCTCAGCAGTTGAATATCTGTAACAAGCTTCTCAGAATTTAGGCTCCACTGTGTATTTAAGTCATTCTTTGATTGAGGTTTGAGCCTTACTAAAATATGTTTTGTGCCTGAAAACCCAGCTATGTAGCAGGCAACTCTGCTGTGTAGCTGTTCTCCCTCCAGTCAGCAGATGTGGCTTCGAGATGCTGTCATGAATCCAGGTAGTTCAAAGCCAGAAACAAATTCTACCTTCTCAACAGGGCTGCGTCCACCCTCCCCACCATGTTTCAGCCCCAGCGACATCGCCCAATACCCCTGTGTTTTTCTGACCCTCCTGTTCTGTCCTGTTTAGCATGTGGACCTTCCCTGGGAGAACTGAATGTATTCTGTGTCTGTCTTCAGCCTTATCAGTGATGGCTCTGCTCAACCATAACCAGATGCCCAGGTATGTTTCAGAAGTATCTGGGGAGATTTTGCTAGAGATATGCCTAGCGCCCCTGAAGGAAAGGCTTAAAAATATCTTTGTGTGTGTATGTACACATGTGCATATGATAATGGTGATGATAATGATGGTAATGTGTGTGCATATTTCTGTGTGGGTGTGCATGTGCCAGGGTGCATGTGTGTAGGTCAGAGGACAACTTTGTATCTTGGCCTTCCATTTTGTTTGAGACAGTCCCTCATTTTCACCACTGCTTCTGTGGATTCTGTGTATCTTCCTCCCATCTCCACCTTGGACCACTGGGATTAGACGTACATACTATTACATCTGGCTTGTCTGGCCTTTATATGGGTTCTGGGAATCTGAATTTAGGTCCTCAGATTTGCATAGCACACACTTTACTCACTGAGCCATCTCCCAACCCTCTTTTCTTGGGTTTTGTATCCTAGGCTGGCCTTGAAGTCTTCAGCCTCCTACTCATCCAGTACCAGGAGGAAAGGCTTTTTTTTTAACTATAAAATATTTTTATTTTTAATTATGTGTGTTTATGTGTATCTGTGTGTGGGTATGTGCATGGACATATCCATGAAAGTAAGAGGCATCAGATCTCCTGGAGTTGGTAAGCTGGTTGTTGGGAACTAAACTCAGGTTCTCTGGAAGGGAGTATTGTGCTTTTAACTGCTGAGCCATCTCTCCAGCCTAAAGAAAGGGCTTTTTTTTTCTTTTTAAATCATCCAGACTGTATTGTAGATTCATTTGTATCTTTGTCCTTGCAGGCTTAATCAGACTCACTTGACACCTTTCCACCTGTTGATACGCACGGTGGGTCTGAGAGCTGAGGGCTCACAATTCACACTGGAAGGTTTCCCATTCCAGATAATATCTGGCACTATGAACTACTTCCATTTACCCAGGCAGTACTGGAGAAGCAGCTTGCAGAAAATGCAGGCCTGTGGCTTCAACACCCTTACCACGTGAGTACTTGCCTTAGTCCTTGTTTTAAGAATTTTGTCATCTGAATTCCTAACTGAGACTATTAGGCCAGTCTAAAGATTTACCTTTTATTTTTGTTTTGGTTTGGGTTTTGTTTTTTAATTAAGCAGGGTATTTGTTAGCCAAGCATGGTAGCATAGGCTGTAGAATCTCAGTACTTGGGAGGTAGAGACAGGAGGATCAGTTCAAACCTAGCCTCAGTTACATAAAGAGTTTGAGGTCAGCCTGGGCTACATGAGATCTGTCTAAAAAAAAAAAAAAGAATTTCTTGCCAAAAAGTTTTTTTTTTTTTTGCCTGGGCTAAGAGATCTGTTTAAAAAAAAAAAAAAAAAAAAAAACCCAACAAAATAACAACACATTAACAACCAAAAAGGTGCTGATTGTTCTTAGGGTATCCTGAGATAGACTTGGGCTGAATGGGCCCGCTAAGGGGTGATAAACCAATTCCTGGAGCATAGGGTTTTGCTGAGAACAGAATGCTCTAGTATATTTCAAACGGTGACTTTCTCTCCCCAGTAGGAAGCAGAAGGGAGTGTTTCTCAGATTTTCACAATGAAAACCTTGACCAAAAAGGTGCTGATTGTTCTTAGGGTATCCTGAGATAGACTTGGGCTGAATGGGCCCGCTAAGGGGTGATAAACCAATTCCTGGAGCATAGGGTTTTGCTGAGAACAGAATGCTCTAGTATATTTCAAACGGTGACTTTCTCTCCCCAGTAGGAAGCAGAAGGGAGTGTTTCTCAGATTTTCACAATGAAAACCTTGGGCTCCAGGAGGTAATAATCATGCAAATGTGGGGGAATTCCCCCCCCAAGCCATTCTGTATTTCAGAGTTTTTAAACTACCAAGAGAATCTATAGAGTCTTTCTTGCAGCTTACCAGCTCCCATGCTGACTCCGGGAGTGGGCTTCCCTCTAAGGACCTGCTCCTGGGAGGCTGTGGTTCTCGCTATCCTCATGTTAGTCAGGTTTCTCCAGGGAAGCAGAATTAACAGGCAAAGAGAGTGATTTTAAGGAACTGCTTGTGTGATTATGGGAGCTGTGAAGCTCCAAATTCTGTAGTTAGCAGGAGGGAAACTTTGGATAGCAACTAGCATACTTTGCATTTGAGTCTTAAAGCTTGAGAATAGGATGTCTGATAATGGAAGTTCCAGTCCAAAAGCTGGCAGGGTCAAAAATCCAGAAAGAAAAGCTGAGTTTGGTGAAGCACCCTTGTGAGCCTAATAATAATTGGGAAGCTGAGGAAGATCACAAATATGAGGCCAGTCTTGGATACATATTGAGACCCTGTCTCAAAGCAAAACAAAGCAAAAAACAAGAACAAAACCAAAGGATTATGGTTTTGAGAGTCACCCATATTGAAGCCATGTATTGCTTTTCATTCACAAAACTGTATGAAATTCCATTGATAATCACATCAAAATGTTTTTATTTTGTATATAGATGTATGAGTTATTTACAATTTACAATCATTAGCGATTGTACTGCCATGGGTGAGTGTATGTATCCTTTCTCTTGTATACATCTAGGAATGGCCTTGATGGAGTGGTACATAGCCATTCCTAAATGTCAGTCAGTTTTCCACAATTTCCAAGACTTTTTCAAGGTCAGAGGTATTAAGTAAATTCACACAATTGAGCAGTCATCTCCATTGTCCTCTCTAGAGTGTTTTCATCTTGGCATACTCTGCACCCATTAAGCTGTAACTGTCTATGCTCCTCTTGCAGTTCCTGGCATCCAGGGCTCTACTTTCTACCTCTGTACACTTATTTATTTAAGATGATTCAAATGGTGTTATCATGCAGCACTTGACCTTTTACGTCTGTCTTCTTTCACTTATGTCTTCAAGGTTCATCTATGCTGTAGCATGTATGCATGTATAGGCATCTCATTCTTTTTTGTTTGTTTTTTGTCTTTTTGAGACAGGGTCTCCCTGTAGCCCCAGCTGGCCGGGAACTTGCTATGTGTAGACCAGGCTGGCCTCAAACTCACAAAGATCCACCTGCCTCTTGCTCCCAAGTGCTGGGATTAAAGGTGTATGCCACCATGCCTGGCATCTCATTCTTTTTTAAGTCTGAATAATAGACCATCACATGTATGTACCATACTGTGTTAATCTGTTAACTTGATATTTTGTTTATCCATTGAGAATATCCATTATCCATTTGGGTTGTTTTGTCCATTGTAAAAAATACTTCAATTTTGATTAAGTCTAATTGTCTGATTAAGTCTGCTGCCTTTACCTTTTGTGTCATATCAAAGAAATTACTGACAAATCCTATTCTACAAAGATTTGCCTATACGTTTTCTTAAAGGATTTCATAATTTTAACTGTTATGTTCAGTAATTTGCTCTTTTTAAAGTTAATTTTTGTATATAGCATTAAGGGGGGGCTCAGTGTTATTCCATTGATGTGGATAGCTGGTTTTCCCAGTACCAGTTATTTGATTTTTTAAAATTTTATTTTATTTATTTATTTATTTAATTTTTTGGTCCTTTTGAAGCAGGGTCTCCCTGTAGCCCCAGCTGTCCTGGAACTCACTGTGTAGACCAGGCTGGCCTTGAACTCACAGAGCTCCACCTGCCTCTGTCTCCTGAGTGCTGGGACTACAGGTGTGCGCCACCATGCCCAGCAGTACCAGTTATTTGAAAGTCATCATTTTTGAGACACGTCATTTTTTTGTTCTTTTTTTTTTTTTTTTGGTTTGAAGACAGAATCTCCCTGTAGCCCCAGCTGGCCTGGCACTCTCAATAGACCAGGCTAGCCTTAATCTCACAGAGATTTGCCTTCCTCTGCCTCCTCAGTCCTGGGATAAAAGGCATGTACCACCACACCTGGGTCGTTTGTTATTTTTTAATTAGTTTTTATGTTGGAATATAAAGTGCTGGGTTTCATCATGGAGCCTTCATACATACATGTCATTGTTGGTTTCACTCCCCCATGCCCTCCCCCTGCTCCATCTTGCTCTTTTTTTCCCCAGTCAGATCCCTTCCTGTTGTCCTATCACATTTATTCTTTTTATTCCCTACTTCCCATCTCCACTATCCATTATGACCTTTTCTTCCTCCTTGTGATCCCTTTTTAAATTTCTGAGTCTGACTTAATTCAGTGATTTGTACTTGCAGCCACTATCCCTCAAATGCTATGATTTCATTTTTCTTTATAGCAGCATTTAAGTATGCCTTGCAAATGTTATCTTTTACTGACTTGCAGCTTAATATTTTAACAGTATTTTTTTTAGAGTAGGTCTTACTATGTCACCCTGGATAGCCTGGAACTTTCTATGTAGACTAGGTTGGCTTTGAACTCACAGAACCGTGCCTGCCTCTGCCTCCTGAGTGCTGGGATTAAAGGTGTATGCCTTGTCTGGCTGCTTTTTATTTTTGACAAATTATTTAACAGCATTTTTTTTTGTCTTTTTGAGACAGGGTCTCCCTGTATCCTCATCTGTCCTGGAACTCACAATGTAGACCACGCTGGCCTTGAACCCACAGAGATCCGCCTGCCTCTGCCTCCCAAGTGCTGGGATTAAAGGAGTGCACCACCATGCCCAGCTTAACAACAAATTTTAAAATGTGTCATTTTAGTACTACATTTTTCACACTAATCTCAAAGAATACTAAAGTTTCAACACATAATGCCACATGATACCGACATAGTTAACCATTACTAATTGATATTATGTGATACTTTGACAATCATAATTTTTTTATGTGTATGAGTGCCTTGCCTGCATGCATGTAAGTGTACCATGTGCATGCAGTGCCTGTGGAGGCCAGAGGAAGGCCTTGGATCCCTGGAACTGGAGTTGTGGATGGTTGTTAGCCATCATGTAGGTGCTGGGAACTGAACCCGGGTCCTACGCAGGAGCAGTTAGTGCTCTTAACCATTGAGCCATCTCTCCAGCCCTCAAGGCCCCTTTCTTTTTCCTTTCCCTGGCATAGACTTATACAGAACCTGGAATATCAGTTTACACTGTGTCTGTTTCTTTGTGGTGTTATTTGGCTTGTTCTGTTTCTGGCATCTTCTAGCTTGCCAACATATTGCCGATAAACGTTTTTGTCCTTTTGTGCAAACAGTATTTGATTCATATAACTTTAATCATTTTTCTTTTCTTTTTTTATTTTTATTTTTTTGAGACAGGGTTTTCCTGTAGCCTCAACTGGCCTGGAACTCTCTATGTAGACCAGGCTGGCCCTGATCTGGAAGAAATCTACCTACTTCTGCCTCTGGTGTGCTGGGATTAAAGGCATGTACCAGTTTGTTGCCAAGTTTTTATGTTAAAGCCTGTATCTGAGTTACTCCTGGTTTGTACTTTGTTTTCTAACTCTAAAGCTGCTACTCTCGAGCCTCACTCCTACTTAGTTTTTTCCCACCGTTTGTGCCCCTTTTGCTGGGCTGTGTCATGAACTTTCTTTATAAGCTACATGGTTATTAAGTTTTGACTATCTAGAAGTTTTTTTTTTAAGAAACTTAAACATGAGGAATACATTCTTTTTACTTAGCACATTTTTGTGCTTTTCCTTCCTTCATCAAAATTGAAATTGCCACTTGCCATGGCCTTCTTCTCCCCGAAGAACTTTCATTTATATTCATAGCTGTGAAAATCTGCTGGTGACAAATTCTCTTAGGTTTAATTTGTGGAAGATGTCTGTTTTTTGTCTTTAGTGTTGATGGATATTTTCACTGGGTCGGGAATTTTAGGGTTTTGTTAATTTCAGTACTTTAAAGCATCATTGTCTTGGGATATGTATATTATTTGATGGCAAATCTGCTGTATTTTTATAATCTGAAAAGGCCCTGGTGCCATCTGCCATCTGGATGAAACCAATAGCTGTAGTCAGTAACAGGGGAGAATAAAGTCTTTATTGGAAGAAACCAGCAGTTGGAAAGGGGGAAATAGTGTCCTAAAAGGCCTTCTTGCTTAAGAGGTCTCCTGTGAAAGCTTGTACAAGGATTTGGGGGAGGTATGCTTCTGTTTCCAGCAGGTCGGAGGGACACTAGGGTGGTTGAAGTCCTAAATTTTGATAATCTGCTTTTCTGATACACTTGTTTCTGTTATCTGAAGGTCACCAAGTGTTCTGGGTTCTGTAACTCTAGAGAAAAGTAACTGATGAGAAAGTCTCCTTTCCAGGAAGAGCTAACCTTGGCAGTTAATCAAAAAGCAAAAGGTTCCTTGGCTCAAAGAACAGATTTAACCCATTAAGCAGCTTCAGTTAGAGCTGTCGTGCACAGCAAAGCCAGTGGGAGGCAAACAGTGTATTTCTCAGCTCCGTAACTCTGATGTTAGTGACTCAAAAGTCAGCCCAAAGCGAGTGAAACTAGGTTTATTTAGGTCACCCCTCGGTTGCACTTTTTAGCCCTCAGTACCTGATTTGCCTCTTCCCTTCTCTCTGCGCTGAGCACCTTCTCTTTTCTTTGGTTTGCAGTTGGTTGACTATGTTGCCCTGGTTCTCAAAAAACTTCTACTTGTGGTAGATTCTCTAACTGTGTGTGGTTCTTGAATCTGTAAGGTTTCTATAGCTTTTTATCCAATGTGGAAAATTTTTACTCTTCTTTTTCAAATAATTTTTGCTCTTCTTGCTCACAGGGACTCCAGTTACATATATGTTAGAATTCTTGATTGGATCTCATACATCGGTCATACTATTTATTCAGTCTTCTTTTTTTTCTCTATTTTCCATTTTGGATAGGTTTTTTGTTGTTGTTATATCAGAGTTTATTGACTTTATTCTAGATGTCTGCTCTACTGTTTGTTCCAACTGGTGTATTTTATTTCCTTCTTTTCAGTATCCAGAATATTTTTCATTTCACACATACACACATTCGATCATGTGGTTTTTTTTACTTACAGATATATGGCATATATGTATATATATATCTTTAATATTCTTTTCTACTGGTTTCATAATATGTGTTACATCCATGTTTTATTGTCTGATATTTTTCTTCTGGTTATGTATCATATTTTCTTATTTTTAATATATGTATATATGTTTGTCATATATATATATATATATATATATATATGCGAGACAGCATCCTAACCTGCCTCCATCTTATGATTCTCTGTGCCTAGGAAGTTTTAAAATTTATCCTGGACATTATAAGTTGTTTGCTGTTGGTTGGTGAATTTATTAGCCATTACATAATACTATGTTACTCAGGTAATTCAGAGGCTAGGAATGTAGCTCAATGGTAGAATGTTCACATAGCATGTGGGGGGTCCTGTGTTTCATCCCCAAGACTGCAAACAAAATAAAACAAAATGAAGGATAATGAGGTCCTTATTATAAGTTTTTCCATATCTTTCTGGTTTCTGTTTAAAGGTTAATATTTTTCTTTTCATTTTCTTATTATAGATAAAGAATTAGATTTCTAGAAGACTTTATTTTTAATATTTTTTATTTATTATTTTATGTGTATGTGTGTATTGCCTGCATGTAGATAAGTGCACCCATGTCATGCAATGCCCGTGGAGGACAGAAGAGGCTGTTCCCCTGGAACTGGAGTTACAGACAGTTCTTAGCGCCATGTGGGCGCTGGGATTCGAATATGGTCTTCTACAAGAACAGCCAGTGTTCTTAACTGCTGAGCCATCTCTTCAGTCCCAGAAGACTTTATTTTTAATTATGTGCATATATGTGTACATGGGCTACCTGATGTGAGTGCTGGGAATCGAACTCAGGTCCTCTGCAAGAGCAATATGGGCTCTTAACCAATGAGGTATCTCTCTAGTCTAGAAGTAGATTTTTTATAAGCATCTGGGAGAAAGGGAGAGAGAGAGAGAGAGAGAGAGAGAGAGAGAGAGAGAGAGAGAGAGAGAGAAGAGAGAGAGAGCGAGAGAGAGAGAGATTTGTGCTGGATGTGGAGGCATATGCTTTTAATTCCAGAGACTGAGGCAGGAAGATCATGAATTCAAAGCCAGCCTGGGCTACTTAGTGAGCACTTATCTAAAAATAAACAAACAACAACAACAGAACAAAAATTCAAGCAAATGAGCAACACTACATCTGTGGGTTCCTCCCAGAAGATATTCCCACACACCTGTCTTATCTGAAGTATAGGATTATGGAAAAATATTGCTAGGGGTAGAGGGAGAGTTTTAAAATGTATTATTTTAAATGTATTTTTAATTGATTTTTTTATACTTGGGATTGAACCCAGGACCTCATGAATGTTAGACAAGTACTCTACCACTGAGCTATATACCCAGCCTTTTCCCCATTTAAAAAATATTTTATTTATTATTTTTTATTTTATGTGTATGAGTGTTATGCCTACATGTAAGTGCACCCTTGTCGTGCAATGCCTGTGGAGGACGGAAGAGGCTGTCAGATCCTCTGGAACTGGAGCTACAGACAGTTGTTAGCTGCCATGTGGATGCTGGGATTTGAACCTGGGTCTTCTGCAAGAACAGTCAGTGTTCTTAACCACTGAACCATCTCTCCAGGCCCCCTTTTTCCTTTTTTATGTTGAGACAGGGTCTTGCTGAGTTGCTCAAGCTTTCCTTCAACTCACTTTGTACCCCAGGTGGTCACTGAATTTTTAATATTCCTGCCTCAGCCCCCATGAGTAGCTAGAATGAAGGGCATGTACCACTAGGACTGGCTTTTTTTTTTTTTTTTTTTTTTTTTTTTTTTTTTTGGGATAATGGGATCTCACTATACAGCCTAGGCTGGCCTCAAACTTATGATCGTACTGCTTCAGCCTTTTTAGAGCTGGTATTACAGTCACGTACCACTATGCCCAACAGCTTTTGTTTGGTTGGTTTGGATTTGCTTTTTTGCAGGGGGTCTAACTAGTCTCAAACATATGATCCTTCTGTTTCAGCATCCTCAGTGCTGGGAACACAGGCGTACACACTAGAGGTTACGTCTAGCAGAGACATAGCAGAGACACTCTAGGCACTTTGTTAAACCTGAAGGAGTTGGTATGGAATCAAGGCACCATGGAGGGAACTTCTTATGTTTCTCTTTTTTCTCCACTGCAGGTATATTCCTTGGAACCTCCATGAGCCAGTAATGAACCGGTTTTACTTCACTGAAAACCTGGACTTCATGTATGTATTTATTCTTTAATTGCCTGTCTCTGTGATTCAGATAGGGATGGACTTGGGGGATTAGGTGAGGCAATGAGGCTCCACACTCTACTCTGATAATTTTCTACCTGACTTGGAACTTTCTTGAGCAGTTAATTTGTGGCTTATAGTAGGACATAGACCAATGTTACAGTGTAGTCAAGAAATTGTTTATCCAGCATTTTAACAGTGTTAGTCTGTCATGAAGGACCTGCTTTCTCAGTCTTAAGGGCAGATTTCTGGACTATAGATTACATGGTTTCTGAGACATGACAGAAGTAGGTAAGGTAACTTGATTTAAAAATGTACTGACTTTTTGGTTTCACTATTATATTTGGGAGACTGCAGAGAGGAAGACAAATACAGCATATTGAGGCGATGTAGCTATAGGACTAGTTAAGGAAGACAGTGGTAAAGCTGTAGGTGAGGCAAATTTTGAGGTTGGGCAGGAGTTACCAAGAAGGGCCTGTGTCCAGCAGAGTCAAAGTCAGAGATGTGAAACTGCACATCAGTTGAGGTGATGTTGGATGCTGTAACAGGTAAGCCACATACTCTAACAGTAAGGATTTATTTTCATCTACGTAGAATCTTCCTGACAAGAAAGTCCAAGAAATAATAATTGGGGGGCGGTTCAGGATTTGTCTGTCTTGTACCTTCACTACCTGTAACACATATCTTCTAAATCACTGTGCCTATTGGCACTGAGCTGCAGGAGGAGGAAAGAGCATGGAAAATCTCCATGGCTTCTGTCACATTTTACTGCCTTGAGGTCGGTCACATGATCCTATCTAATACATAGAACTGGCAAATGGAGCTGAGCTGAGTATCAGGAAGGAAGGGGAGTGGAGTTGCTATCAATTTGAGTTGCTATCAGTTTTCTGCCACATACTGCGTTAGGTAGGATCTGCAAATAAGCCTGGACTGATCTCCTACTGGTTTTAAGTAGAGGAGTGTAACTAGCATCCTGCTTCTAGCCTTAGATACTTTGCTACAGAATTTGAGAATATTCAGAGGGTATTAGGGAATCATCTGAAATATTTCAATTTGGGAAGTTTAACCGGTATGATGATACTCACATTGAAATCCCAGCACGCAGAAGGTTGAGGCAAGAGGATCTCAAAAAATTAAGGGCTGGATATACAGCTTGGTGGTATAGTGCTTGCCTAGTGTGCACAAGATCCTGGGTTTGATTTCAGCACTGAGACAGATATTGAGAAGCTTATACTTGCATTTAGAAAGATTTTTCTGGCAGGGTTTTATTTGTTTGTTTGTATTCCAGTGCCGGGGTCAATCTCAAGGCTTTGTACATGCTAGGCAAGTGCTTGGCTACAGAGTTACCAGCCTCAGACCCCAAAATGCTTCAAGAGGTGGCAGTAACAAACAAAACAAAACAAAACAAAACATAAAGATCTGATGTGGTAGTGCACAGCTTTAATCCCAGCACTCAGAAGGCAAAGGCAGGCAGATTTCTGTGAGATCGAGGCCAGCCTGGTCTGTGCAGCAAGTTCCAGGCCAGCTGGGGTGATAGGGAGACTCTGTCTCAAACAACAACAGAGGCAGCAAAACCGAGTAGTTAAGATTTCATTTTTAAAGGATTTGACCTTGAAGAAGCTCTGACCTTTCAAGTTTTTATTTTCTCTGCAAAATGGAGAGGGTAGCAATACTTACCTCACTCAATTGTCCCCAGTGTAATAGACTTAAATTTAGCTGTGGTGCTTGATACTGATCCAACATAAATATTAGTTCCTATTGATGAAGATGCTGCTGACAGTGATTGGAGAAGGAATGGAAGAAGGCAAGAAGGAAGGCAGGAATTGGTCGTACAACCATTCCAGGAACTATGGAATGATAAGCCAAGTGCTTATCAAGTAATCGGGGGTAGAGTGGGAATGCACAGGAAGGGGAAGCTTAAGAGCACTGAGCAGCAAGAACATGGTCTGGAGCTGATGGGAGCAGGAGAGGAAGAATGAGTGAGACCTTCCTAGGTGTGGCCGCTACTCACAGGGGGCGCCGTTCTGGGCAGCAGTGGATTTGGGTCTGAAGGCTGAAGTTCGGGTTTCTGGATGTTCTCTTTAATGCCCTCCTCTCCAGCACCTTCACAGAGCTGTTTCTTACATGCCCATTCTCCCTGGGTCATGTCTCCTGTGAGGACTCTTGTGAGCAAAGCTGGAACTTGCATTGATTCCAACCTCAGTATCAAGCAAAAAGGGAAAGAGCAGTGGTGCCAGGTGTCTGTGCTCAGTGTGAAGTCACTGGGGTCGCTTTGCTTCCAGAGCCTTTATAACCATGACTTCGGAGGTGGACCTCTGGGTCATTCTGTGTCCAGGCCCCTACATCGGCAGTGACTTAGACCTTGGAGGCTTGCCCAGGTAAGTTGTGCCCTGAGGGTCCCCGGCTGGGAGTGCACATGGCCCAGAAGGGCACTCAAATGCAAATTTTAGCAAAATGTTTTCCTTTATTTGTATATACATTTAAAAAATATGTATCATTTTATTCATTTAATGACACATAAATGAACCATATGTTTGTCCATATTGTAGCCTTAGCATCTATTAGCGCTGTTTCCCTTTTCACGGCTGAATCCTAATCTAGTAGTCAGGTTTTTTTTCCTCTGTGTATCTCTCTCTCTCTCTCTCTCTCCTCTCTCTTCTCTCTTCTCTCTGTCTCTGTCTCTTTCTCTCTGTTTCTCTCTGTCTCTCTGACCCACACTTTTAAACAGCTTCATAATGGTCTCTTTTCGAGACTAGAGGTTGGTAAACCTTTCCTGTAAAAGGCCAGATAGTAATCTCAGCTAAAGCAGGAGGACTGCAACAAATCTGGGACCATCCTGGGCTACGTAATGAATACAAGGCCAGCCAGGGTTATATAGCAAGATCCTGTCATAAACAAGAAAACAAAGTCCAGACAGCTATTGTTTTAGCTTTCTGGGCCACATACAGCTTCTGATTAGCTGAAAGCGGTAGCAATAGGTGAGCAATTGAGTACAGCTGTATGCCAATAAAACTTCATTTAAATAATCAGACAGCAGGTCTGACTTGGCTTTTAAGCTTAGTTTGATATGCTCTGCCTTGGCTTGTAGTCCCATTTGTATTTCTGAGTGCTGAGCTATTTGTAATTGCTATAGACTGCTCTTTCTTGAAGCTGGATTGAACCCTCACATCTCACTGTTCCATGTGGACATGCAGATATGGGTTGTCTGTTTTCAACCTCCTGTACTAGAACATATCTTACTACTGTCTCATATCCTGAGTCTGAATCTCACTTTTCTAATCATAGCTGGTTACTCAAGGATCCAAAAATGAAGCTGCGAACAACTTACAAGGGCTTCACTAAAGCAGTGAATTGGTATTTTGATCAGCTGATTCCCAAGATAGCACAATTCCAGGTAAAGCCCTATCCCGGGACTCCACAGGTAAGGGAAGTGATTGCTGGGCTTTGGCTGGGTGTGATGGTACACACTGAAGTCCCAGCCTCTGGCAGTGGAGAACTAGGATCCAGGCCAGCTTGAGCTATATCATGTAGAGATCTTGTCTCAAAGATTTTTTTTTTTTTTAAATCTGGTTTTAATTGCTCTGTTTTTGTTTTTGTTTTTGCCCTTCTTCTTCAACTGCTCAACTCAGATCTGCTCTTTTATAGTAGGATACCGGGAGGGATGCTCTGTGTATATTAGCTTTCACTTGACTGTAGTTACTTGCTCTCTGCATTACCAGAAGTTAAGATTAATGATTAGTCTCAGAACTCTCACAGACAGCTACATGTCAGTACCTTACAAACAGTGCTTTAGAGGAGCCCCTAGGCCAGGAATTTTCTAGAAATTGTGGTTTCTAAAACAATTGGGGAGCATAAAAAAGACTACAACCAGATGGCCCCTAACTTATAGTAAGTAGTTCAACTGAGAAGTTCTTGGCCTGATAATGTATGAATCCTTTCAGTGGAAACTGAAGTGATTTTTTTTTATTACATTTTATGTGTGCATGCACGCACACACACATAAACACACACACACACACACACACACACACACACACACACACAGCCTGCACCGTAGAGGTCAGAGGGCAACTTGCAGGCGTCTGTTCTCTCTTTCCACCATGAAAGTCCCAGGAATTGAACTTAGGTTGTCAGGCTTGGCAGTAAGTGCCATTACCCACTAAACCATCTCACCAGCCCCAGTCTGACTTTTGAATTTTGGTCTTTTATCTTTTCTGGAGAAAACAATAGATGATGTGGTGTCCTTCTGCAGTGTTAGGCAGTGACATCTCCTGGTCAGCCAACCATCCCAAGGGGAGCAAACTGTGCTCTAGTGAATTGTGTTGCTTAGCTGTAATTCTCAGTGCTCAGTGCATTTTGGACCAAATAGTATTTTCAACTATGATGACTTTATTTGGGACAAAACTCCATGTTAGGTTGAAGAACATCTCTACTAGGTAGGAAATGAGTAGAGAGTAAGAAGTATTTGATAACATCTGTTAAGTATCAAGCTTCACACTAGGAAAACAATATTCACCCAATTTATTTTAACTTCACAGTAATAATTTGAGGAAATGATCATAGATTGAATGGAGACAATGCCAACGTCTGCATATGACTAAAGAGGACTTCACATGATACGAAATTTTTTTTTTTTTGTCTTTTTGAGACAGGGTCTCTCTGTAGCCCCAGCTGTCCTGGAACTCACTATGTAGACAAGGCTGGCCTTGAACTCACAAAGATCTGCCTGCCTCTGCCTCCCGAGTGCTGGGATTAAAAGTGTGCACCACCACGCCTGGCCCCATGATATGAATTTGTTAGGAACAAATCAATGATGTTAGACTCAAGGAAGCCATTAAAACTCCTGAGTGCTCAAACAAACACAAGCCAGTGTACATGTGGGAGACAGGAGAGATGGTCCTTTGAAGGAATGTAATGCCCTAACCACAAGTAAATGAAGTAAAATTAAAAATTCAGTTTCTCAGGCACACCTCTTTTGCAGTGTTCAGTAATCACAAGTGGTTGATTGCCCTGTGAGCAGCCCTTCCTGAGAGGTGACTAAAGTGGGAAGGATGATTATGGATGTTTGAGGTCTCATGCACTAATGTGTACATTAAATTATGGTAGAAATTGGGCTAAATTATCTAAAGAATGCTATTAAGGGATGTATTTTGAGAACATCTGACTTCTCAGACCTACCACTGATAAGTGAGAAATGAGCAGAACTGTAGTTCAATTTGGGGTTGAGCTTAGGTGGGTGCTGTGTTTGTGTGTGCCCAGTACTCAGATGATCCAGCCTTTTCCCTCCAGTAGTCTCACTCTCAAATTCTCATCTCCTTGACCCTCAGTATAAAAAGGGAGGCCCTATCATTGCCATGCAAGTCGAGAATGAATATGGCTCATATCATATGGATAGAAAATATATGTCATATGTAAAAACGGTAAGTGCTCCCTTAACTTTTCTTTGCGTTTACATACCTCTTTTCTCATTTTACTAGTTGGTGAAGTAAATATGTCCTGAGTATCTACAGCTTGCCTGGACTTGAGATATGGAGATGAATAGCTTTATTTTTTATTTTGAGTTACATTCTAGAGAGTGGACTGGAAACGATCCACATAACTCTAGTAGAAGGCAGATACCCATGATAAGATAGCTTTATTTTCTGTGAATATCAACACTTTCTTTTAGCTGATCTTTGTTTAATACATATGTTTCCTTCCTTTTATTTCCAATTTTTCTGTATTTACCTACTTAGGGTACTTACAAGTAGCATGTAATTTATATAACCAGGTTTTTTTTTTCTTTTAATTGGTTGAGCCTGGAGTGATAGAGGTAGGAGGATCAGCGGTTCAGGGTCACCCTTAGCTAAATAGTGAGTTTGAGATCAGCCTAGACAACATGAGACTCTGTTTCAAAATACCACTGTCTTGGTTTCTTTTCCTGTTGCTGTGATAAAATGCTCTGACAAAGCAATTTAAGGGAGAAAAAATTTATTTTGGCTCACAGTTCAAGGCAGAGTCCATCATGTGGGGAGGTCATGGCAGCAGGAGCCTGAAGCAGTCACTCATATTTCATCTACTACCAGGAAGCAGAGAGGGGGGAACGTTTGCTAGTGCTCAGCTTGCTTTCTCCATTTTGTACAGTTCTAGATCCTCTGCCCAACAATTAAGATGGATTGTCCCACATCAATTAATGTAATCAAGATAATCCCCCATATGCCCAGAGGCCCATCTCCCAGTTAATTGAGATCTGTCAGGTTAATAGTTAACACTGACCATCAGAACAACCAAAGAAAAGCATCAAAAAGAAAAATGTTTCTGTTACTCGTTATAAAAGTTCTTGTTTTGAGCCTGGTCTACATAGTGAGTTCCAGGACAGCTGAGACCCTGTCTCAAAAAGACCAAAAAAAAAAAAAGTTCTTGTTTTGTAAATGAGGATTTGTTCAGTCTTTGCTCATACATTTGCATTTAGATCTATTGTATTCTTATTTTCTGTTTGTCCTACTTGCTCTCTCCTCCTTCAGCTCTGAGGATGACCTTGAGTTTCTGATCCTCCGGCTTTCACCTCCTAGGGATTATATTTCTGTACCACCACAACTCAGTTTATTTTTTCACTTTGTCTTTTTTAAACAAGGTCTCCCCATAGTCCCAGCTGGCCTGGCACTTGATCTATAGACCAGGCTGTCCTCAATCACACAGTGATACACTGCCTCTGCCTCCCAAGTGCTGGAACTAAAGTGCCCTCCATGCCGGGCTCAGTTTAATTTATTGTTGGGGATCCAACCAAAAATGCATATTAGGCAAGCACCCTGCCAACAGAACTACATCTCCAGTATTCTTGTTAGTTTCTTTAAAAGTTTTTAAATTAAAATTACATTTACTTATTTATTTGTATGTATCTTTGTGTGTTGGTGCACATCCCACTACAATCATGTAGAGATCAGAGGACATCTTTTCAGAGTCACTTCTCTCCTTCCACCATGTAGGTCCCAAGGATCAAATTCAGGCCATCAGGAGATGGAGAGATGGCTCAGCAATTAAGAGCACTTGGGTTCAGTAAGCTACCCACATGGTAGCTTACAACCATCTCTAGGGGATCCAATGCCCTCTTCTGGCCTCTGCAGGCATTGCATGCACGTGCTGCACCTATATACATTCAGGCAAAACACTCATGCACATAAAATAAAAAAATAAAATAATGTAAAATAAAATAAATGTGGTCGTAGTAATAGCAATTATTGCTGGAACTGTTGTGCTGGTTCTTTCTACAAGGAAGAAAATGGCAAAGTATGGGAAGGCTGAGATGAAGTAGATGGGTGAGCTATGTAGGGAACTCAATGCCTAACTACTGTGATTTGAGGATTGAACTACAAGAAGGGGAATTATCAAATGAACCCAGATTGCAAATGTATGAACATAGGACAAAAAAGAAAATCTTGAAAGTGTTACTGTTTTGTTAGTTGATACTATGTATTTGTAATAGTGAAATTTGTACTTGTAAACATAAGCAGCTTGAACTGGCATTACCAATCTTAAAATCTGACAAATGTCTCATGTATGTAGGCCTCATATAAAACCTAGAACTTAGACTGCATAAAGTAATGGATACTTAACATCGAAGACTGTGTGTTCCTTATTACACTAGAGTGTGATGACCAGCCCCATTTTATGATTGAAAATGCCTTTCTGTATACCTTGAATCTTGCACATAATAAATGATAGGTAGGAATTGATAGGTAGAGAGCGGGCGGGAGCGAGTGGGTGGCGCGGATGGAGGAGGCACTGAGGCACAGATAGAATTCTCAGCGGGATACAGCTTTATTTCGCACGGGACACGTTTCCCTTGGGGAAGGGAAAAATGTCAGCAAAGGGAAAGATGTCAGGGAAGGGAAAGATGTCAGGGAAAGATGTCCGGGAAAGATGTCAGCCCACGGGTTGTGAGCTGGGACTTTATATATGGGGGCTTTAGGGTGTAGAAGGGGGGAATGTTTGGGGGAGAAATCAGGGAGGGGGAAGCAGGAAAAGCAGGTAGGATTAGGGTCTGGAAGTGTTTACTTTATCCCCCTTAAGATAAGAGAAAAGCTGTTATGATAAACAACTTCTAAAATCTCTGGTTATCAGGTAGAATCTGCTTATCTTATCTTTGGAGATCAGAGGAAAGGCAGGCTGCTTCTCAGCAGAGTTTGTTTCCCTTGACTTCAAAGGTCAAGGTGCTTATCAGCTAAGTTCCCTTTTTCGGGCTCCAAAGTCTGGAGGGCCCTGTGGGGGGGGGGGGGGGGGGGGAAGCTGCTGCTGTTTGGAACCCTAACAATAAACTTTTTTTAATGAAATAAAACATTTTTAAAACTGAAAATAAATAAATAAATAAATAAATAAATAAATATGAAAAACTCAGGTCATTAGGCTTAGCAGCAAGTATGTGTACCCATGAAGCCGTCTCACTAGCCCTCCCTCCAGTATTTTATTGACTGGATATTTTTATCATCCCATTTTCTCCTCCGACTAGCTTGATACACATTTTGAAAACCATTCTTTCAGTGTTTTCCATACAAATTAAAGTTTCCATCTTTGAATTATTAACATCTAAGTTACTATGTGTTCCAGTTCCAGGGGAAAGCAAAGCACTCCTGAAAGCATTTTACTTCACTTTCCCTTTTCTGACCTTACATGCTAGCATTTTCATTTGTTTTACTGTTGTATATGTTTTTGATTCACAAGACACTATTATTTTTATTAAATAGAGCTAATGGTCATATAGTTTTACTCAGATAATTTACTTTCTGTGTGTGTGGGGAGTTGGGGATGGAATCCAGTGTCTCACATGCTAGACAAGCACTGTACCATTGAGCCACACCTCTAACACGTCTTTACTTTTTATAGCTATTTTGCCCCTATAAATTCCCATTGTTAGATTTTTGGAAAATAAAAGGAAAGATAGAGGAGTAGGAGACAGACCTGCAACAGGCAAGGAATGTATCTTCCTTTATTCAAAGAAGATACAATGAGAGGTGGAGGCTGTCTGTGAGAACCAAGCATCTACACTTGGAAGGTAGAGGCAGGAGGATCTCTGTGAGATCAAAGCCAGCTTGGTCTGGTTCACATGGTGAGTTCCAGGCCAGCTGGGGCTACAGGAACACCCTGTCTCAAAAAAAAAAAAAAAAAAAAAAAATTAAAAAAAGTGTAATATGTAATAAAACCAATATCTGATCTCCTAGGGCTCTGATTCTGTTGTGCTTTTTCTTCATTGTTTCTGTAAAGTGCTGTCTTACTGTCTCATCATTTTTTATACAATATCAGATGTCATGAAAAAATAAGATCACTTGATTCTTTCAATCATTTTTCAGATGGATTCATTTTTGCTTCTGCAGGTATTTGTAATGTCTTAAAACTGAGCTTCTATCCATGAGAGCTATCCTGATTCTTGCCCACCCTTGTCTCTAGGACATTGCCTTTAAGGTCCTAATTGAAAGCCTAGTGTTCAACATGCTCCCTTCACCAGTATTGTCCTCAAACTACAGGTTCTTTCCCCAAGTATTTAAAACTGCTGACAACTTTCTTCTCAGAGGAATGTAGAGCCGAATGCCAGCCTCCCTTCCTCTCTGGGACCTGGAGCTCCAATTTCTGCTTCTATATTCAGGTTCTCCAAATAACTTTAGGAAATCTTTTATCAACCTCATAGAGCTGTAATAGAAAGGTCACAGAGTATCAAAGCAGTCCCTTGTTCATAGAATCCGTTTCTCTCCGTGTGAGCTGTTATGATCACCACCTTTCATTCTTTGCCAGAAACCGTTTAATAATTGCCAGCCATAGCATGAAAGAAAAACTTAACGATCTTTTCAAAAGAAAACATGGTTTTTCACCTTAGCCCTGCCCTGGCCCCTTACTCCTACGCAGGCAACTTCCCTATCTTGCCTAACCCCCAGGCCTCCTAGAAAAACCCCCTCTGCCCTTCTTTGGCAATCAGCCCTTAGTGGAAAATTCCACCAGAGCCTTTCTTCTTTCTTCTTTCCCCGCCTTCCACTCCCCCCGCCCTAACTCTACTATAAAAATATGCTGTGTGTACTCAATAAACGGAGCTTGATCAGAACACTGTCTTGCTTCCTTTCTTCGTGTTCCTTGTTTGTTCATTTCTTCTAGGACCCTCACTCGTTGTCCCATGGTAGAGGTGTCCCGCAGGTTGGGACATTCCTGGTGCCCAACGTGGGGCTCGAGTCCGGCTCGAGAGAAGAGTGGGGAGCTCCAGAAGGAACGTCGGTTCCCCCAACTGGCCTGCTTAGGCAACCCCCTCAGGATCGCCACGGTCGACCGCTGTGAGACAGATCGCTTTCAGGTAAGACAAACCAACGCATCACATAAAGACAAATAAGCATTCAGTTCCTGGGAGTATCAGTCCCTTGGAAGGTAGGGACCCCGGTCTCTGACAAAATCTGCCAGCCTGCTA